TATGAATGGTAGTGCGGTTCTAGTTTCGTCTGGAGTTCGACCGGCTATGGTGACCAGTGGGCGACAAAGACGGGGGGACAAGACAAACAAAAACTATTAAAGAGAAACAAAAGACAAAGGAATTAAATTCTTATACTAGACATTTGAAGAAACACATACACCGACTGCATATAGCAGATATCACGGGTTGCCAACACGTCTCTGATAGGAACAAAGGGTTGTCTTCCTTGGGTCTCGAGGGTATTCAAAAGTCGCTCTCTGGCGGCGTCATTATCCGTACATTGCCAAACTGCGTGTTCGATGTCATCGTAACCGTTTCCACACCGACAGATGTTGCTGTCCACGAGGTTTATTCTATTGAGATGAGCATCTAGCGAGTAGTGGTTGGACATAAGTCTACTCATCACCCGAATGAAGTCACGACTTAAGTCCAAGCCTTTAAACCACGCTCTCGAAGAAACATTAGGAATAATTGAATGTAACCACCGTCCAAGATTTCCATTGTCCCAATCGGTTTGCCAACTCGAAAGGGTACTCTGACGCACTAAATGGTAAAATTCATCGTGTGAAATTTGCCTGTCATAAAATTCGCCTTCCTGCGACCTTTGCGAGAGAGTCCGCCTTCTCATTGCCTGGGATTGAGCAATGTGAGGGGATCCATACAAAGGTAATCATATATGATCTTTCGACCAGTACACTCATCTGCTCCCTTACCTTTGAAAGGAAATAAGATGAGTGCCTACTTGGTTTCATCGACCGAATAGCCTCAATCGAACTGAGACTATCCGAGAAGATGAAGTAATGGTCTGCGGGCATGTTGGAAATCATCCCCAATGCGAAGTTGATTGCTGCCAGCTCAGCAACAAAAACGGAACAAGGTTCCTGGAGTTTGCGGAAGGCGCTAGAGTTTTCATTGAAGACACCGAAGCCAGTGGATCCACTGAGACGAGACCCGTCTGTAAAATGTCTGTTTACGCAATTGACGTGTTAATACTTTTCAGTAAAAATACGCGGGATAATAATAGTTCGAAGTTGATCTGGAATCCCGTTAATCACTTGTTTCATGGTCAGATCATATTCAATTGAGGAACTGCGATTGGTGAAGTGAGCATGGTCTGGAGTATAACAAGGAAGACACATATCCGACGATATGTAGTGGTGGTAGATTCTCATAAATCGAGATTGTGTGTTCAGCCCAAGAATTTCTTCAAAATTTGCAATTATAAGTGTGTTCGTCACTCCGCATTTGATTAGTATTCTGAGAGAGAGAGCTCCCAGAAACGGTTCTGGAGGGGTGTTACACAGACAACGATATTGAATTCGTTCCAATTTTATTAGGTGAAATTTTCTTGCCGAGAGAAAGCAGAAAGAGCTGTACTCTAGAACAGAGAGAATAGTTGTTTTATAAAGCGTTATGAGGTCTCCCGGATGAGAACCCCACCATGTGCCGCAAATTGAACGGAGAAAGTTGATCCTCTGTTGACATTTTTGCTTCAAATACGTAATATGGGTATTCCAAGTGCACTTTCAATCAAACCAGACCCCAAGGTACTTGAAAGACAATGATTGAGTAATTGATTGATTGAGATGCATTTGGGCTGGGTGCCGCTTTCGAGTAAAAACTACCAGTTCAGTTTTCTGCGGCGAGAATTCGATCCCTAGATTCCTTGCCCAAGACGACAAGTTATCTAAGGAACTTTGCAATGGTCCTTGCAAGTCCACGGCATGTGGACCTCTTACGGAAACCACACCGTCATCTGCAAGTTGTCTTTTTTTTTTGTTCATTAATTTATTTAATAAGGCTCAACCGAATTAACTTTACAGAGCCGAGGATTCTTGGTCAATATACAATACATCTTAAAGGTACAACACAATAAACACTTTATCTTCCGCTATCCAAAAAGCCTCCTCCATCAGAACTGGAGCCGCTTCCAGTAGTTTCATTGTATGGCAAATTGTTGTACGCCAACGAGGGTCAGAGCGCGTCCATTGCAGCAATGGACGCAAAACGTGGTCAGCACTCACACACTCATCACGAAACGACGCATCGACTGAAAGAACTGCTGATGAAGAACAATGAGGAGAACCACACAATGGTTGCTGCCGAGAAAACAGACGATCGCGTGGCACACATCGAGAGTGGCCTGCTTTTGTCGACAGTCGAGTGAACACTTGCAAGTTGTCTTAGCGTGCATTTTTCTGCCAAACAGTTGTCGATAGTTGGGGCAGGCCCATGTAGCAAATTCTGGAAGTTGTCAGTTGTCCAAGGGAAAAGTTCATTTGCTTTTCTGACAACAAATTGTACAAGAAATTATTTAAAATTCCGGAAAGTCCACATCTGTGCAGATTGTCTGACAGAATTTCAATGGAAACTGAATCAAAAGCCCCCTTAATGTCCAAGAATACTGAAGCCAATTGCTCCTTGTGCGCAAAGGCCAGTTGAATATCTGTGGAAAGCAGCGCTAGACAATCGTTTGTTCCTTTGCTCTTGCGGAACCCAAACTGTGTATTTGATAGCAAGTTATTTGTTTCGACCCACTGATCGAGTCTCCAAAGGATCATTTTCTCCAACAATTTCCTAATGCACGAAAGCATCGCAATCGGACGGTATGAGTTATGGTCAGACGATGGTTTGCCAGGTTTTCGAATGGCTATTACTTTGACCTGTCTCCATTCAGGCGGTATAATGTTGTTTTCTAGTAAGGAATTGAATAAGTCTAGCAAGCGTCTTTTAGCGATATCTGGGAGATTTTTCAGAAAATTGAATTTAATCATATCGCTTCCCGGTGAGAAGTAGATTCCGCCTTCATCATTTTTAGATATTAAATAATCTCTTTTCCCTGGACAAACACGACTTATATCGTCACTATTGTAAAAATCACGAACAAGCATTATCGTTTGTTCTCCTAATGAAGCTCTGCTTAACCTCTTTACAGACATCGACATTATTCCTTTCTCTTGCTGCAGTGCTTTTGCATACAAATGATTCATTTAATACTGGTTGCTTCGATGGACTCTGAAAAATTATCGCAAAAAAGAAGAGTTTAACTTACTAGTTTGAATAAAAGAACTGAAATTTAAAGAAAAATCACATGAACTTTCAAATAACGTACCTGAAGCAGCGATACTGGATGGTCCTGCAACGGCTTCTTCGGTCACGGCATCATTGAGTTCATATAGTTTGTGGTAGCAACGTTGACAAATAAAGGAGCTACTCTCATCTATTTTAATCTTTTTTTTTTCCACTGCATAATCGTACAATTTATTGGTGATTTTTCTGTCACATGAACTCAACATCCAAACACCACACATTGAACACTTACGTTTCATTTTTAGATATTCTTCGATTCAACTGTTCTAGTAGAAAACTTTGTTTTCTAACTGATCATTTTTTTTTTCATAAAATTCCTTGTTTTATGTGAAGCATTATATCTTACCTACGAGTGAGTGATATACCTACGAGTCTAAGCTGTAACTCATAGGTATATCACTCCTTCGTAAGCAATGACGTCACTACAAACAGCTGTTTCAGGTAAATAGATGAACATTGCGAATAAATACAAACACCACCAAACATTTCCATGTGTCACTAACACCACGAAGCCTATTGGGCTGGAGCTTATGTAAAATTCATTGCCTACGAACGAGTGATATACCTATGAGTTACAGCTTGGACGCGTAGGTACTGATGCAACATGCAAAAAGATTTTGGCATTACTGCCGTGTGGAATTTTTACGCAACTTGTCATGGAAAGGGCCCTATGGGAATTAAAATGGTTAAAATGGTATTGAAACGAAACGCCTTAAAATTTTAATATACGAAGGGAAAGGTAGGATCTGCAATGTTTAAAACTTGGTATACGTGGTTTATGGACAGCCCGCAGGTAGAACTGAATTTTGCATCAGGCTTGTAAGTTACTCATAGATTTCGTTAGTCACAGCTGCTGTATCTCCAAAACTACTTCTCGGACATCGCTAATTTTTTAATATGTTATGTAAAATTAAATGATCTTTCAATTAAAATTATTACGTATTTTTTTCATTCAAAATCAACTTTCTCTCAGTGTTTCATAATTTTTCTTAAAACTACATCAAAATTGAGTGATTGAATTTTCAAAATTCTATAAAAAAATCTTCTAAATAGAACCTTCAGTTTTATTGGAAAAAAATCCAATCCTGGTTTTTCTTCTAAATCTAGGATAGATTTTCATAAATCACAAATGTTTAAAAAAAATGGCATATTCTAAGGCGCTAAACATATGTCAAATAATAATACAAATCTGGCAGCACTGCTTCTGATAGACAGTGATGATACAAGACTAATATTTATATATATATATGTATCATATTATGTATGCATACATGCTGCGATTATTATAGTTTATCAAAAATGCTTGCACAATGCTGTCGACCCTCCTGACTGTGCGATTGAGTCATAAAAGGGGGCTGAAACTGGAGCGGTCTGTTCGTAAGAAATCAACGTTTGAACGCGTTGGTACCTTTACGAGCCAAAAGATCCGAAGCGATGTGAGTGCTATTTGCACAATCAATAGTCTCAACGTTAATGGTTGAATTCCAGGTTATTTCAACATGTTAAATTCTCATAAGATTGCATATGATTTCCTTTTCATAATAACAGCTTAAGAACTGTTAAATATTTTCTAATCTTTATCCATAAACAGAATAAGACAAAAGTTACGATTGTCAAGTGTCCACTTTTCTGAGTGTAATTCATATTTGCTACACTCTAGTTCAATTATACTCAGTGGCTGAGTAGAATTTCAGTGCCCTCTCTTTTCAATCACGGAAATTTTACTCAGTTGCAGTTCAAAAGACTAAGTCTTGTTGACAAATGTGGTTGTTTTATTGGTTACGATATCCCGGGTTACGATAGTCTGCTAATATGGTTAGTATAAACTATGTATATTATAGATTATTAAATATATTCTCGTAATTTTGCAATCCTTCAATCATTACTAAGTGAACTTTCCTCTTTTTAGGCACATTCAGTCATACAACCTAACCAGCAATCGGTGATACAGACCGCAGCCGGACAGATACCTGCCCTACCCCGAGGCGTATTATTAGTGTGTAACAAACCTAGCTCAGTCATTCACACCACCCAAGGCAGTTTGCAGGCTATACAGGTGAGTCTCTAGCTCTAGGTTCTTCCGTTTCCCTTCACAAAAAAACGTCATGTGTTAGAATCGCTTCCACAACCCTAAGTTAAAAAAAACCCAAACAGTGAGAACTGATCCTCAATCCGATGTCCACACTGTACAGATTAAACCAGAGCCGCACGTCGGTAGCGGTGGCAGTATCATGACCGATACCAACAGTGACGACACGCTGTCGGACGACGAGGCCTCGCCAAAGAAGCGAAGAGATTTACTAACACGACGACCATCCTATCGTAAGATTCTGAGCGACCTCGGCGGAGCAGAAATTGGTATGTTTTTAGTTGTTCGGTTTTCGTTCGTTCTGCCAAAATCCTCCCAACCCCCCGCCACCCTCTTTAGCCCTCAATTGCGAAAAACAAAAGAACCATCCTCCATCTTCACCACCACATCCATTGTCCATGATCACCATCCATCAGTCTCATCACCCAACATCCCAGACTTCCTTCTTTCCAATTTTTTTTTGGTTCGTTTCCAACTGTCCTTTCGAATGCATGCGCTCTGTCTCCTACTTGGAGAGGGAGTATTAATTTTCCATTCTGTCTAAATGGTTTTTGGCCGTAGTAGGGTCCGTAGAAGTTCTTCTCTTTCCTTTCAACTCTTGATCTGCCTTCCTTCCGTTTAGTTTTCCGTAGTCGACAAAAACCGTACCGTTCTCGAAGATTCTGCCGGGGTCCCAATTTTTTATACATTTATTATTATCTCATAAGCACTCACAATTTAACCAGTTTTGAACTACCTCTAGAACGTAATTTTGCGCTTTGTATAGTTTCGAACGCACGGTAGTAGAGTTTGCTCTTGTTATTTATTTTTCTGCATGAAAGTTTATCTCGACCAAGTAAATACTACTAACAACTAACAGCAGGTGCAAAAAAAAAGGAAGCTATTTTGCTGGTTTGGAAGTTTGATTTTTTTCGCGTTTGTGTTTTGTCAAATTGTGTTTTTTTTTTATTAAGTTGATTTTGATACTGTTGTTATGTTACATACTTGAGGAAAAACGAAGTACAGTACTTGGTCGCTAACTGGGCTGGCTTGTCAAACGTCTTCAATGGATTGTTTGATCGACGTTAAACAAATTTCACGTGCTTTGAATTGAATCAGTGTAAAGTTTGTTAGTGATATTTTCACAGCATTGAAACTTGCGAGTTGAGAAAGGCTAAACGCTTTCGCTAAAAACGTTTTCAGTTCTTGATTTCAGTGTGAAATGAAAATGATTTCAAATTTATTTTTATTAACACTTAATATTCCATTCGAATGCCTCTCACCAATTATGACAACGAAATGTCAAACTAAATGTGATGTATATTTTTGACGTATAGCTGCTTTTTAACTGGACTACACAACCCAGTTAAAAAGTAGCTCATTTAAAGAACGCCCAGTTAGCGAACAAGTACTGTATTTGATAACTTTCTAACCGAAGCTGGACGATTTCCAAAGGGAAGCTTCGATGATTTTTGGGTCAGTTAGAACCCCTTCCGGTGATGCTATAATGCTCCCATTTTTAATTATTGTCTATAAGTAGGGTATTTTGATGATTCCATGGTGAAATGTTGAAGAATCATTCATATTTTGAAATATTGTTCTATGATATTGTATGGGGGCGCAGGAACAATGCAAGATCATGCTGGAGGTAGCTGGGTTCGATTCCCGGCCGGGTCTAGGAATTTTTCGGCTTTGAAAGTGTCTCGACTTCCATGGGCATACTTGTCACACAATTAAACTAAAATACAAAAATGATACATGCATCGAAAGCTCTCAATTAATAACTGTGGATGTGAATCTAGAACACTAAGTTAAGAGCACGCAATAAGCTAACATGCGATAAGCAATAAGTTTGAAATGCGAAGAAGAAAAATCGCATTTCAAGCTTAATGCTTATCGCATTTTAGCTTATTGCGTGCTCTCAACTTAGTGTTCTAGATGCACTTCCACAGTTATTAATTGAGGGTTTTCGATGCCAGTACCATTTTTGCATTAGTATAATTGTGTGGCAAGTACAATCATACTTCTATGCCCAGGGAAGTCGAGAAATTTTCCAACCCGAAAAATTCCTAGACCGGACCGGGAATCGAACCCAGCCACCTCCAGCATGGTCTTGCTTTGTAGCTGCGCCTTTACCGACTAAGCTAAGGGAGGAGAAGAAGAAAAATATATTGTATGATAATCTGAAGAACTCGTGTACGACGATGGTCATCCTTTGGATTTTTGTAGGGATTTTTGAACATGCACGTAGCATTCCTTTTACAGATTGTAATTTATTTTTGAAGTGTAAATTTTTAGAGAAATTTCACCAAATGGATCAACTCTCTAAAACTGTTCACTACGAATTTTATAGCCGTTTAATTTTTATTTTGGTACGTAATGTGGTTAAACAATCTGTTGAATCTGAGGTGTTTTAGTTAGTTGATGATGTCTCCAGTTGAAAATTTTGACATCAATCACTACTCTTTGCTGAGTTATTAACTGTGGACAGTGCACAGTGTCCAGCATAAGAATTTATCTGGAAAATAGTCTTAAACTTTTGTTTTAATATTTAGTCGTTTGGTGTCTTCGGCGAAGCTTTTATGCTTGAAAAGTTTGGTGGTTGTGAACATTAGGGTGGTCCTTAAGTTAATTGATATTCAAAACCTAACTTTCTTATTTTTGGAAATAAAGACGTATCCAAGGGGTGGTCACTCTACACACTTATTTTGAACCAACTTTTTACTCAGTTTACAACAAAACAACAAGCAGTGGAATCCTATCCCAAATTCTAACTATCGTGAGTCTCGGTTCGTTGCTCCAAAACTCTCCAAGGACTACACTGAACCTAATAAGCGACGGCCTCGGTCACTGAATCGAAGCTTCGAGTGAGAACGTTCTCCAGGGGAGGCACTTCCAATTTCCGACCGGACAATAACTTCTACTCGATTGGAGTATGATGAGGACTTGGATGAACCACAGGTGACGGTGGTCAGTGGACGAAGCGAGCGTGCATCATCAGAGGAAACTGGTCAACATGCTCTTCAGAGTCTGATGAACGCGTCCGGGAGGAGTTTCTCCCGAAAGCCATCCACTCTGTCAAAGTTGCGTCGCACAGTGGGGCAGCGAAGCCATTCGCGTGGCCAAAACCTCTAGCGCCGTTGATTTACTTTCTACAGCGATACAATGTTCTACTAAGTTGTTCAGTACTAAAAGCGCCATCTTTTGAATGTTTCATTTTAGTTCATTTTTACGCCACATAGGTGGCGCTCGAGTTTATCTTTTGAACGGAGCATCCTAGCCGAATAGTTTTCACGGCAAAGTTATGTAATTTGATGTGTTGAGAAATGTTGTCGAAGACATCGAAACTCTATGACTCATATTAAGCGAGATATTGGGCAATTAGGAAAACTAACCTCTAAAATTGCACGTCAAATGTATAGGTTTTATACTCTGATAATTAACAAAATGGTTTGACTCATTCAATAAATACTCATTATTTTATATACCATGCTTTATTATATAGTTAATAACATAAATGTCTCAAAAAAGTGAGGCATAAAAATGTCAATTACTCAAAATATAGTAGCAGCCATTTTTTTTACAGTGATTAGTCTAGACCTTGTTGGGTAAAGTAACGACCACAGTTCAACAGGCAACTGCAGGCATTTTCATATAACATTATTTGAATATTGCATACACACTTAGAAAAATTGATGTAATTTTAGATGCTCTGAGACTGACATATACGAGCGTCAAATTTGATATAAAATTGAATCATAACAGACGTGAAATTCAAGTCAATCAAACGTAGTTTTCGTCGAGTATCGAACTTTTCATTCTCGGAGACCTTAATTTTACATGAAATTTGTGTTTACTTTTCATACTTTATGTCAAAGATTGATTCCGTCTCGTGTAAAATTAGTTATTTCTAAGTGTGTATGGTAAATTCTTTCAAATTTGTTGAAATTTTTCTTTGTGTGTAAAACATGATAAGATGTTATTGATCTGAATAGATTACAAACAGTCAGAAACACTAGCACAAAAGCACGCAGATTCTTCACTAACGCAACCCAAACAAGTGCAATAACTGGTATTAATGAAGAATTAATTGACCGATGCGATACAATTCTTCGTACGTTGTCTTCCGGATTGTCGATCAAAATAACAGCATTTCGAAATTTTGCTGAAGAAACTGCTCGTCTTTATGTTACCCTTTATAAATGGTATCCAATGTCAGCCTCTGTCCATAAGGTTTTAATCCACGGATCGCAAGCAATCCAAATTGCATTACTTCCAATTGGTATGTTAAGCGAGGAGGCTCAGGAAGCCAGAAATAAAGACTTCAGAAAATGTCGGGAACGATACAGTCGCAAAACAAGTCGAAAGGACACTATGGAGGACGTTGAAGGATGGACATTTCAAACCAGTAGTTTTAAGTCTCCTAGTAATCTAATAATGCATCTATTGCATTCATCAATAACATCTTATCACGTTTTACACACAAACCAAAATTTCAACAAATTTTAAAGAATTTACCATATGCAATATTCAAATGATGTTATATGAAAATGCCTGCAGTTGCCTGTTGAACTGTGGTCGTTATTGTATCCAGCAAGGTCTACACTAATCACTGTAAAAAAAATGGCTGCTACTTTTTGCTATATTTTGAGTAATTGACATTTTTATGCATCACTTTTTTGAGACATTTATGTTAATAACTTTATAATAAGGCATGATATATAAAGTAGTGGGTATTTATTGGATGAGTCAAACCATTTTGATAATTATCAGAGTATAATACTTATACATTTGACGTATATAGGTGAAAAAAAGGAAAAAAAAAAAACAATTTTAGAGGTTAGTTTTCCTAATTGCCCGATATCTCACTTAATATGAGTCATAGAGTTTCGATGCCTTGGACAACATTTCTCAACACTTCAAAATACACAACTTTGCCGTGAAAAACATTCGGCTAGGATGCTCCGTTCAAAAGATAGACTCGAGCGCCACCTATGTGGCGTAAAAATGAACTAATATGAAACATTCAAAAGATGGCGCTTTTAGTACTGAACAACTTAGTAGAACATTGTATCGCTGTAGAAAGTAAACCAAGGTTTTGGCCACGCGAATGGCTTCGCTGCCCCACTGTGCGTCGCCAGCGTTATAGTGGAAGTTTCAACCGGAATCAGACTTGCCTGGTGGAGGTGGGGTTTAATGTGTCCACACGGTCAGACAGTCCAACGATCGGACAAATAGAGAGAAGTATGATGTCTCTGGCGAAAACAGTGCCGGCCAGAGAACCCGCCTG